TTTTTTTTTTTTTTTTGTTAGGTGTCCTTTTAACTTTTTTCTTTTTGAGATTTGGAATTTGGAATCCGGTGCTAAATAACGGCTTTTAATTCGTTCGTATTATTCTGTTTTTGATTGCTTTCCTCTGTTTTTTATTTATTTTAGATTTTGTATATGTTTATAGATATATAATTTTAGGTAATCCTTCTTTAATACTTTTTGTAAATTAACGGTGATGAATAACGGCCTTTTTAATTCTTCCTATTATCAGCTTTTTATAGCTTTCTGGTTTGCGTTATTTTATTTAGATTATATATGTTGTATAGATAACTAATTTTTAGGTATTTCCCATCCTTCAATTTATACCCTCTTAATAATTTTTGTAAATTAACGGTTTATTGTAAATAACGGTCCTTTTCAATTCTGTTCGTATTATTCTGTTTGCCTTTGCTTTTTTCCTTTTGTTTGTTTGGGGGATTTATTTTTTTTTAAATTTTAGATTTTATATATGTTTATAGATAATATATTTTTAGGTCCTCTTAATTACTTTTTGTAAATAACGGTGTAAGTAACGCCTTTTAATTCTTTCGTATTATTTGCTGTTTTGATTGCTTGTCTGTGTTTGGTTATTTATTTAGATTGATATATGTATTTGTATATTATAATTTTTTTTTTCTTTTTTTTTTTTTTTTGTAGGTATCCTTTTAACTTTTTTTTTTGTGATGGAATTTGGGAATCGGTTGTCAATTTCGGCCTTTTTACTATCTTCCTTTAATAATTTGTTTGCGATTTATTTATTTTTTTCTTTTTACGGTCATTATTTTATTCCTTCATAAGACCATATGCTATTTTATTCTTTCCTTGCTTCGCATGTCTCATGTCTGTCTTGCCTCTTTCTCTCTCCTTTATCTTAAAATGTTTTGTTTTGGAAACTGATATAATTAGGTATCATAGATTACTCTCTCTCTCTCTCTCTCTCTCTTATTCTTCTCTCTCTCTCTCTCTTCTCTCTTCTCTCTCCTCTCTCTCCTCTCTCTCTCTCTTCTCTCTTCTCTCTCTCTCTTCTCTCTCTCTCTCTGTCTCTCCCTTCTCTCTCTCTCTCTCTCTCTCCTCTCTCTCTCTCTCTCTCTCTCTCTCTCTCTCTCTCTCTCTCTCTCTCTTCTCTATCCTGTCTCTCTCTCTCTCTCTCTGTCGTCTCTCTCTCTTCTGTCTCTCTCTCTCTCTCTGCTCTCTCTCTCTCTCTCTTCTGTCTCTCTCTCTCTCTCTTCTCTCTCTCTCTCTCTCTCTCTATATATAATATATATATATATATATATATATATATATATATATATATATATATATATATATATATATATATATAATATATATATATATATATATATATATATATATATATATATATTATATACAATCAGTTTATATTGTATATAGATATATGATATCTCGTATTTTCTCTCTAGTTCATTTTTTCTTGTTCCCAATTTCTGTTTTAACTTTCCTCCCTCTAGCTCTCCTCCATTTCCTTCCTCTATTCCTCTCATCTCTACCTTCCTTCACCCTTTTCTCTCTCTCTCCTTTTCTCTCTCTCTCCTTTTCTCTTTCTCTCTTCTCTCGCGTCGCCTGTTCTCTTTCTCTCCTTTTCTCTCTCTCTCTTTCTCTCTTTCTCTCTTCTCTCGCGTCGCCTGTTCTCAAAGCAGACTCCCCTTCCAGGCAACAGTGCACGAGGAATACGCGTGCATGCTCAAACCAGACCAACATCGGCCAGAACAACAACAAGTTCTACGTCATCCAGGTCGCCAAAGACAGCGGGGATTTTCTTTGCTTCACCAGATGGGGGAGAGTGGTAAGAACACCTTTCTCGGGAGAGATTTGGTGTTTGTTTTGTTTATGGTGTATGACTTTTTTCCGACCTGTGGAATTTGTAACTGTTTCTTATACGATATAAATCTTTGACACTATATATATATATATATATATATATATATATATATATATATATATATATATATATATATATATATATATATATATATATATATATATATATATTATATTGTGTGTGTGTGTGTGTGTGTGTGTGTGTGTGTGTGTGTGTGTATGTATGTATGTATGTTATATATATATATGTATATACATTTTTTGAAAGAAAGATTTATACGTATGTATTTGTGTGTGTGGTGTTTATACACATCAAAGGAATAGTTTTTTCCTCATGAAATACAACAGCACTCTTTCTCGCACCCGCCTGTCCGCCAGGGCGAGGAGGGCCAGTGGAACATCGACTGCATGGAGAAGGCGAAGACGCCATCAAGGCTTTCGAGAAGAAGTTCAAGGACAAGACCAGAAACAACTGGGCCGATCGAGACAACTTCGAGCCGGTCGCCAAGAAGTATACTTTGCTGGAGATGGGTGAGTGCCGCGTTCTGTCTATTTGTCTGTTCGTCTCCCTTCCCCAACCCCCTCTCTCTGTCCATCTCCCTTCCCCCCCCTCTCTCTCCATCTCTCTTCCCCAACCCCCTCTCTGTCCATCTCCCTCTCCCTCCCCCTCTCTGTCCATCCCCTTCCCCACCCCCTCTCTCTCCATCTCTCTTCCCCACCCCTCTCTCCCCCTCTCCCTCCCTCACCCCTCTCTCTCTCCATCTCCCTCTCCCTCCCTCTCCTTCTTAGACTCCCTCTCCCTCTCTCTCCCTCTTTTACCCTCTCTCCCTCTCACCCTCTCCATCAAATCAGTGCATCATTCCTTAGTAATTCCTTAGTAATCCATCATGGTGTTCACTAAGGACGGTAACAAAGCCAACGAGAGTGACATGTTGCACCGCCGTGGGGCTAGTATTATTTCCAAGGAATATTTATTCAGGTAGCTCCACTTCCTTTGAGCCTGTTGAACCCAAAAATAAAATTAACTTTTTTCCGAGAGTATTCTGATGGTTGTCAATGTTTTTATATAAATAAAATGGGAATTTTGGTTTTACTTCTGGTAGATATAGAGATATCAAGAAAGTTATACAAATGATTATGTATCTAGCCATATCTTATATCTTACAGTGCTCTGTCATAAGCTAAATGTGATAACTCTGCCCCTTTTTGACTTTATGATACATATGCTAAGTATAAGTTCCGTACCAACTATAGTGATAAAATAATGAAAACGAAACCAAGAAAAATAAAATAATAATTACAATGAATAAAGGCAAAGAAGTGGGACTTAGCTCGGAAGTTGCCAACTAGGATTTTCATCAACTGAGTGGGGCTACCTGCTTTAGAGTACCTTGGGTATTTCGCTTCTTCCAGACGACGACAGCGACGAAGAGGAAGTCGGGGGAGATTCCTCGGAGCCCAAGAAGGAGCTGGTGTCCTATGATGGCCCCTGCAACTTGCACAAGAGGACCATACTCATGATCAAACTCATTTTCTCTGATGATATGTTTGTCAGACAGATGGCAGATATGAGTCTAGGTAAGCAAGGGAACGAAAAATTATCGAATAGAATCCACAAATATCATGGCAGCAGAAAGTAAGAAATAATGATAATAATAATAATAGTTATAGCATAAATCAACAGGAAACTTTGCTTTATACTAGATATGATTGTACGGCTGGCAAGGCTGTGTCACGATTGACAGTTACTAATATTTTACTCGATTTCTGCTGTGATATTTGCTTCCTAATCTTAGTCTTCATCAGTCCATAATTAAATCTATCGTACTTTACTGATACCACTAATAGCGTCATATTGTATTGGAAAGAATATTGTCAGACTTTCTATTTAGTGTCTTCTTTATTTTTTCAGTCAGTATGAAACGATTTTCATAGAATCTACGACTATCTATGATACGTAGTTTATCCAGGTTATTGTAGATACTTTGGTCCTTTTTGGCACAATATTTCTCAGTGGGAGGACACTGTGTAGTGTGACCAATCCCGCTCTGGATGAACAACACTTTGCGTGGCTGTCTAGGGATCCCCGGATAGACCAGACTAGTGTGACCATCAAATTTCGTGTTTCTGTCTGAATTTGAGGCTTTCCACAAGTATCATTTGCAAACGGAAAACATCCCAGACGAAAAAAGTTACGACCGTTTCCGTCTGCCTAATTTCTGTCATGATTTTGTGCTACGGAGGATCTATATAGCTAGAATGTTTTTACTGACAAAGTACATAGAATGAGTTAATATAAACATAAATTAATATTCTAGAATATTTCAATATAAGATACATAAATGTATTTCTTTTAACATAACGCGATGTGTATAAGAATGCTCGTGTGATTCCCGGGAACTCACTCAGATGACACATTGTTTGCTGCTTTGTTAGTGTGATAAGGTCAGTACATTTGCATACGGAAAGTTCATACAACAACGCAAAAATCTACTCAAAAAGTGGCAGTGTGATAGGGACTTAAGGAAAGATAATTAGTTGATTTGTTACGTTAGTAAGGGAGCAAGATTAATGATTGTTCCTGTTCTTCCAGACGTGAAGAAGATGCCGCTGGGCAAGCTGAGCAAGCTGCAGATCGCCAAGGGTCTGGAGGCGCTCATAGACATCGAAGACGCCATCAAAAAGAACAAGGTACTCGAGGGAAGGACCGCCATGGCTGCTGGCCCGTCGTCTTGGAAACCTTTTTTTCACTTTGATCAATTCCTTTGGCTTTATAACGTTTTATTCGCGTCCAATTTTGCGAGTTCGCTTTAAGCCTTCATTTTCGTTGATTCTTGTCTGTCCTTTTGTATATTAGTTATTGTATATTGTTGTCTCTTTGAGAATACACCTAAAAGCCTTCCAGAAGTGCTGGCCGATCTGAATAAGCTCGCCCTCTTCGTCCTCAGCCCCGCAGTGTGTTGATGGAGCTCACCTCCAAATTCTACACTCTCATTCCACACAACTTCGGTCGATCGGCGCCTCCTGTGATAGACACGGATGAAGTTGTGCAGAAGAAGAAGGAGGTTATGCTCACTCTCAGCGACATTGAGCTCACGCAGAGTCTTCAGAAGGAGAAGGTGGGGAAAGCACACATATATATATATATATATATATATATATATATATATATATTATATATATATATATATATATATATATATATATATATATATATATATATATATATATATATATATATATATATAATATATATATAATGTATTATATATATATATCTATAGATATATGTTATATTCTGTATATATATATGTGTGTGGGTGTGTTATTATTATTACTATTATCATTGGTATTATTAGTGTTATTGTTATTATTATTATTATTATTATTATCACCATTGTTATTATTATTGTCATCATTATTATTAATATTATTGTATTATTTATCATTATAATTGTTACTGTTAACATTATTATCAGTATTATTATTATTATTATTATTGATATTGTTATTAATATCCCTATTATTATTGTTTTTATCATTATTAGAATTATCATTATTATTATAGAATTATCATTAATAGAATTTATCATTATTAGAATTATCATTATCATTATCATTAATAGAATTATCATTATTATTTATCATTTAGAATTATCATTATTATCATTATTATTATCAATATTAGAATTATCATTTATTATTATCATTAATAGAATTATCAATTATTATTATTATCATTATTAGAATTATCATTATCATTATCATTATTATTATCATTATTAGAATTATCATTATTATTATCATTATTAGAATTATCATTATTATTGTTCTTATCATTATTATTATCATAATTAGAATTATCATTATCATTATCATTATTATTATCATTATTAGAATTATCATTATTATTATCATTATTATTATCATCATTATCATTACAATTTTATCATTATTAGAATTATCATTATCATTATCATTATTATTATCATTATTTGAATTATCATTATTATTATCATTATTAGAATTATCATTATTATTATCATTAATAGAATTATCATTATTATTATCATTATTAGAATTATCATTATTATTATCATTAATAGAATTATCATTATTATTATCATTTATATCATTATCAATTATTATCATTATTATCATTATCATTATATTATCTTTTCTTATCATTATTATTGTTCTTATCATTATTATTGTTCTTATCATTATTATTGTTCTTATCATTATTATTGTTCTTATCATTATTATTATCATTATTAGTATTAGCTTAATATTAATACTATCATTATTGTTCCCTAACAGAGTAAAGGCGTTCATATTCTTCAGGAGAAATATGACATGTTGGACTGTGTCTTGGAATACGTGGATAAGATGTCTTCAGAGTTCAAGGTAATGGTGTGCATCTCCTCTCTCTCTCTTCTCTTTCTTTCGCTTTCTCTTTCTCTTCTTTTTCTTTCTTTTCTTCGTTTCTTTCTTTTTCTTTTCTTTATCTTTCTCTTTTCTTTCTCTTCTCTTTTCTTTCTCCTCTCTTCTCTCTCTCTCCTCTCTCTCTTTTCTCTTTCTCTTCTCTCTTCTCTCTCTCTCTCTCTCTCTCTCTCTCTCTCTCTCTCTCTCTCTCTCTCTCTCTCTCTCTCTCTCTCTCTCTCTCTCTCTCTCTCTCTCCCTCTCTCTCTCTCTCTCTCTCTGTATCTCTTCTCTCTCTCTCTCTCTCTCTCTCTCTTCTCTCTCTCTCTCTCTCTCTCTCTCTCTTCTCTTCTCTCTTCTTTCTTTCTTTCTTCTGCATGTGTGTCTGTATGTTTGTGCCCCTGTCTCTCTCTCTCTCTCTCCTCTCTCTCTCTCTCTCTCTCTCTCTCTCTCTCTCTCTCTCTCTCTCTCTCTCTCTCTCTCTCTCTTCTTTCTTTCTGGCATGTGTTGTCTGTATGTTTGTGCCCCTGTTTCTCTCCTCTCTCTCTCTCTCTCTCTCTCTCTCTCTCCTCTCTCTCTCTCTCTCTCTCTCTCTCTCTCTCTCTCTCTCTCTCTCTCTCTCTCTCTTTCCTCTCTCTCTGTTCTGTCTCTCTCTTGTCTCTCTCTTCTCTCTCTCTCTCTCTCTCTCTCTCTCTCTCTCTCTCTCTCTCTCTCTCTCTCTCTCTCTCTCTCTCTCTCTCTCTCTCTGTCTGTCCGTCTAAATATGTACATGTATGAATATGTATTTATGTATGTATGTACATGTATTTATGTATGTATCTAAGTATGTATATGCACGTATGTAAGCATGCATGTATGATGTCCTTCCAGATTATCAGCGAATATGCAACAGCTTGTCCTTACTCAAGAAAAGGCCCGTTGCTTGATGTCTGGCGTGTTGACCGGAAGGGAGAGAAGGACAGGTATAGAACATGTTTCTGATTTGATGTAACACTAACTGCATTGGTAATTATGATGATCATGTTGCTGATGGTTATGGAGTATGTGCTCTCTCTCTCTTTCTTTCTCTCTTTCTCTCTGTCTTTCTTCTTTCTTTCTTTCTCTCTCTCTCTTTCTCTCTCTCTTTCTTTCTTTCTTTCTTTCTTTCTCTCTCTCTCTCTCTCTCTCTCTCTCTCTCTCTCTCTCTCTCTCTCTCTCTCTCTCTCTCTCTCTCTCTCTCTCTCGCTCTCGCTCTCGCTCTCGCTCTCTCTCTCTCTCTCTCTCTCTCTCTCTGTTTATCAGTCTTTCTAGCTATCTATCTCTTTGTCTCTTCTGTTTCCTTTTCAATTCCCTCTACGTTTATTGGTAATTATGATGATGATGTTACTGATGGTAATGGAGTGTGCTCTCTCTCTCTCTCCCTCTCTCCCTTTCCCACTTTCTCCCTCTCCCTGTCCTTCTCCCTCACACTTTTTCATCCTTTTTTCACCTCCCAACCTCCTAACCCTCTTCTTCTGTTCTTACATCCACTTACTCCTCTTTTCACTCCTCTCTTCTCCTTCTCCTCTTCTCCCTTATACCTGTTCCTCATCTTTACCCCCCCCCCCCTCCCACCCGATAAGCAACCGAGTTTCACGCAACTTCTTCTCCTCCCCCCCCATCCTTCCCCCTCCTCCCTATACCTCTCCCTCGATCCCTCTCATCCCTCCCCCTCCTCTCCTTTACCTCTCCCTCCCTCTCTTCCCTTTCCTCCCTGTCCCTCTCGCCCTTCCTCGCCCTTCCTTTTATCTTTATCCTCTCTCTCCCTCTTCCTCTCCAACTCCGAAACCAAAAGTAAAAAGATATAAAACTAGCCATTGCCACGGGCCTCCCATCCAGGTTCGCCGCCACGACGCCATCCAGCACCGCAAGCTGCTCTGCACGGCACGGCTCTTCCCCCCTCGTCTCTCTCCCTTCCCCTCTCTCTCTCCCCCTCCCTCCCCTCTCTCTCTCCTCCCTTCCCCTCTCCCTCCCCCTCCCCTAAATCCTAACCCCCCAAATAATAAACAAATAAAAGAACAATAAAGCAAAAGCCAAACCCGCCAGGTTCGCCGCCCACGACGCCATCCAGCACCGCAAGCTGCTCTGGCACGGCACCAACGTGGCGGTGGTGGCGGCGATCCTGAAGGCCGGGCTCAGGATCATGCCCCACTCGGGCGGTCGAGTCGGCAGGGGCATCTACTTCGCCTCGGAACACGCCAAGAGCTCTTATTATGGTAAGTGTTTGAAGGTCGGTGGTTTAGAGTGTCTGTGGGGCAGTGGTTAGTGTATGTTATGATGGTGGTTACAGGTCTGGGTTCAGGGTGCTGTTCGTTTGTTAAAATTGTGCGAGGCCCGACCCAATGAATTTTCATAAATACGGATGAAATCAAGGCATATCTGTCTATATATCTGATAGATATACCATTTACCATCTATTTGCAGGGTTGATATGCATGTCTAGACTGATAGATATGCATTCATTTCTTTATTTATGCATGTCAAGAATACGAATATTCTTTGGGTCGGGCCTCGCACAATTCTGTGTGTAATAGTGGATTAGTCATTAGTAGTCACATATTTATGCATGTCAAGAATACGAATATTCTTTGGGTCGGGCCTCGCACAATTCTGTGAAATAGTCATTTACAAGTCAGGGGTTAGTGTGTTTACAGGGCAGAGAGTAGTAGGTGGGATAATACCTAGAGCTATTTATAGTGTTTATTGGTCGGGGGGTTTTGCGTGAGTGTATGGACGAATGTAAAAAGGTGTGTGTTTTAGAGTGCATGTGCTGACAGGAAGGGTTAGTGTGTTTTAGTGTGGTTTGTGGACGTCTGTGCGGTTGCCGATGGTCTTTGTCTTCAGTGTGTGTGTTTAGGAGAGTAAATATTTATGTCTGCTATGTCTTTTGTGTTGCCTATGCGTGAGCCTCCAGTGTGGATTGGAAATAACATCATCCCAACGGACATGTGAAAACCCAAGACTCTTCCAATGTTGCACCGAATGATGTCTTATCTTCTCCTGCAGTTGGCTATCATTACGGTACTTACGAAGGCGAGAGTAACGTGGGCTTCATGTTCCTGGTCGAGGTTGCTTTAGGGAAGGAGAACAACATCATGCAGGATGACTGTTCTCTGACGCAGGCTCCCAAAGGCTACGAGAGCGTGGTGGCAAGAGGAAAGACCGAACCAGGTAATCAGAGTAATGGAAAATCAATGCTAAAGAGATATATAAAACTTCAGAGGAAAGAGCGAACCAGGTAATCAGAGTAATGGAAAATCAATGCTAAAGAAGATATATAAAACTTCAGAGGAAGAGCGAACCAGGTAATTAGAGTAATGGAAAATCAATGCTAATAGGATTAAAAACTCCAGAGGAAAGAACCGAACCAGGTAATCAGAGTAATGGAAAATCAATGCTAAAGAGATTATAAAACTTCAGAGGAGGAAGCGAACCAGGTAATTAGAGTAATGGAAAATCAATGCTAAAGAGATATATAAACTTCAGAAGGAAGGAAAGCGAACCAGGTAATTAGAGTAATGGAAAATCAATGCTAAAGAGATTATAAACTTCAGAGGAAGGAGCGAACCAGGTAATTAGAGTAATGGAAAATCAATGCTAAAGAGATTATAAAAACTTCAGAGGAAGGAGCGAACCAGGTAATTAGAGAATGGAAAATCAATGCTAAAGAGATTATAAAAACTTCAGAGGAAGGAGCGAACCAGGTAATAGAGCAATGGAAAATCAATGCTAAAGAGAATTCAGAAAACTCAGAAGGAAGAGCGAACCATGGTAATTAGAGTAATGGCAAAATCAATGCTAAAGAGATTATAAAACTTCAGAGGAAGGAGCGAACCAGCGCTAATTCAGAATAATGGAAAATCAACGCTAAAGAGATTATAAAACTTCAAGAAAGGGAAGGAGCGAACCAGGTAATCAGAGCAATGGAAAATCAATGTAAAGAGATTGTAAAAACTTCAGAGGAAGGATGCGAACCAGCGGGGAATCGAAGCCAATGGAAAATCAATTGCTTAAAGAAGATTATAACAACTTCATGAGAGAAGGACACCGAACCACGCGCACGCGTAATCAGAAGCAATGGTGCGAAAAATCCAATTGCTAAAGAGATGGTAGAAAACCTCAAGAGCAACAGGAGCGAACCACGGGGTAATTAGAGTCATTGGAAATCACTATGCTAAGAATATATAAAAACTTCAGAGGAACAGGAGCGAACAGTGGGTAATCAGGAGCATAATGGCGAAAAATCAACTGCCTAACACGACGATGTATAACAACATTCCAGCAGGAAAGGCGACGTCGACACCAGCGGCGGTAATCATAGCAATGGAAAATCAAATGCTAAAGGAGATTATAAACTTCAGAAAGGAGCGAACCTAGCGTTACATCAGGAGCAATTGGAACACATGTAAAGAATGCTAGCAAAAAGCTTCAGAGGGAAGTGAACGCCTTAACCAGGTACATTACATGCCAGAGTAACTGGGAACGGAAAATCAATGCTAAACGAAAGCATTACTAAAACTTCAGAGGAAGCTAGCGAACCATGGTAATTAGCACAGTAATGGAAAATCAATCGCCTAAACGAGATTATAAAAACTTCAGAGGAAGGACACTGCTATACACCGGTGCGGGATAATCAGAGCAACTGAAATTCAATGCTTAAAGAGAGCTATAAAACCTTCAAGAAGGAAGGACGGCGAA